TTACATCTGACTTCAGGATTTCTGCATATACCCTGGCTTTAGCTATTGTGCGTATGACAATAAAGCATTTGAATCCTACGACCATTATGATGTTTGAAAGGGTGAAAATGTTGCAAACTGATCATAATGTCACTTTACAGTCTTAGAGAAACCTACCTTTTAGGGATTTTGGGTTGGTATTATGGGAAATACAGTGAAGAAACACGTTCATCAAAGTTTCTATCGACTCATAATTGAGCTTTGTGGGAATAAAGATCTCAAAATGTCTTTAAAAGTAAGACATTTTCTTTACTTTTTGCTATTCATTACAAGAAAATAAAGACTCTCCGAAATAGTAAAATCTCCTGTTGTCGCCAAAGGATCATATGTTTTAATTAAATGTAAAACTAAGTATTTTGTAAGCTGCAGATTTGTTCTAAACAACCGAAAGATCATGCGACAACGGGCGATTAAATGACTGTTTCTTCAGACCTAAATGAGTATCATGGCCACTATGATGTTTTTAATGGGTCCTAGTGTTTCAAATCAATCAAAAGGTAACTTTACAGTCGTGATAAACTCACTTTCTAGGCATAGTGTGTTCATATTATGGGGTAGAATATGTTCAGAAAAGTTTCTGGACTCATCATTGAGAATCATTGGAGTAAAAGTATTTATACTTTCTTTAATAGTGAGATATTTTCATGTTCGTCTTTTTTTCATATTTAACCCAACTAAAGACTGTCTCTGGACTGCAGAGCCTCGTTTGCTACACTGAAGAGGTTCTGGTGTGTGTGAGTTGGTTCTGGTGTGTGTGAGTGGGTTCTGGTGTGTGTGAGTGGGTACAATCTCCTGTTGAAGCCAAAGGTATGGAGGCATGAATGACATGTGTTGGCCCCTCCTCTCCTGCTCTGTGCTGCGCTGCTGAGTTTCAAGCGCAACAACCCGGAGAGCGCAGCAGCGACTTCACCGCTGCAACTTTGGTGAGTTGGATAAGCTCTCATTTTATCAAAGAAATCACCTACAAACACATTTGTTTCCTGTGGTGGTTGTGTTTTAATGCGTGGGGACGTCAGTTTGTGTGTGTAAACGCTGGTTGTGTTTGTCGGTGGGACTACTTTATCTCTCTCTTTCTGTCTCCGGGTAGATGACAGGGTTTTTTGGAGCAGTCGATGAGCGCGTTTGAAGTACCTTGCTGGTGAAGACAAGGGGATCGAGTACCTGTGATTTACACCATCTACTCACCAAAATGAAACTCCTGTAAGCCATTTTCCTCTCTAAAATCACGCTGCAACTTTTTTATTTTAAAGTTATCGGCTTTGCCACGGCGTTTGTCGCGGCTGAAAGCGAGCTCCGGCTCACTTAACCTGCCAAATACACACTTGGAAACACACATTAACTTAAAATGTTTATTTCCCTGGCAGGATTTGTATGATAGCAGTCGCCTTGGCGGTGGGATCTGCGCACGGAGTAAGTCCCTTTTGCTTATTATTACTGTCCTTCAGGTGAAGTGGCTCTCAGCTCCACCGTTCATTTAGAGCACAGATGCAACAGATAAACGATGGAGTTTTTGCATTCAAACTGCTGCACAAAATACTTTTCCTGAACCTGTTGCATGTAAATGTCTCAACCGAGCTTATTTGGCACGTTTTAAAAACGTTTTAACATCATCATTTTCAAAGCTGGTTGCATAAATGATACGTTTACATGTTTACAAAGTGACTATCCATATGCACTTGGCAGAAGTGTCCCTACATGCATCACGCTGTGGGTGTCTTCAGTCTGGCATGAAGAGACACATTTCTGAATATTTTTCATATTACACATCTTTAAGGACACTTCAGTGAGTGTTTGCAGTACTTTTATTGTCTTATAAGGACCTATTTTACTCCAAGTGAGTTCTGTGTTGCACCATGTGTGCACTTACAGCTTTGGTGTAAAGATTGCACTTTTAAGTAGCCCGAGGGACAGAAAAAAGCAGCTCATATTTGAGTTGGCCCGCTCAGTGATTTGCAATTCAAGCCCCGCCCCCCTGATGAATATTTAAATGAAGGAGGTTCTTAGGGCAACGTGCCTTTTTCTAAGCCACACCTTTGCAAGACTTTCAGAGTAATCTGCTGCTGCAAGACAGTGCAAGCAAACAGGGATTATTTCTCTCTTTAAACAACCTTTTTGTGCATTCTTATATTTCATTTAAATCCTGAGTATGGGGTCTATTTGAAGTAGCATTTTCAAGGGCAGATAATCTATTCCTAGTTTCTCATTTCATTTTGTCAAATCATACTTTTAAACATCAGAACATACAATGCAGTAAAAGCTCATTCATTTAAGTACTTATGCAGTAAGAAATTACTTAAATATACCCCAAATTAAGCATTCTGAGATATTTAACCATCCCTAATCAGTATGTATACGCTCCATACCCACATTGAATACATATAATAGTATACACAGAGGGGGTTGAAGTGTTTAAATGCGTTATTGAGACACAGACTGGCCATCTGTGATGACAAGGGTCAGGTTAAATTGTGAAGGGAAAGGTCAATGCAGCACTACACCCACTACCTCCCAAATTAGAATAAGAAAGGGGAGTGGGGCTGTTTGATGCTGTCATTCAAACATGGCTTCTTTCTTGTTAATTGGGCAGGACTTTAGGTTGAGGAGAAGCAAAAGTGCAAGCTATGTACAGTAATGTAATTAATGTCTGTATGCTCCATAATTACATTGGTGTTACGTAAAAGCTTCCAAATAGTATATAAGTACTGTCGTAGTTGAATTAGTTTTAGGTGGTAAGTGGTTTAATTTTCTTTGAAATATGTCCTTTTTTTATGTTACGGTTGGTATTAGCTTGCTGAAGTTTACAAAGTAACTTGAAAACAAAGCTGTGAAGTACATGAGGTGGAGAAAACATGTATTGGAGAAGATGTCTATAATAATTAGACTCAATTACAAGTACCTACAATTGCACAGTACAGTACAAGAGTAAATGTACGAAGCTACATTTCATTATAGTTTATAATATCATAATTTCACGCAATTTCAAGCACAGCTGGTGCAAAATAAATCTAAATCCTTTGCCAAACTTCATCAGTCAGACACAAACCCTCAACCCTAGCAGTGTTAGTGCCTTGCTCTACGAGCCGAGTGACAGGAAACTGAAGTAAGGCGGTCGTCGTCTTTGACAGAGACGCTGACGGGGAGACATTCAAGCGAATGAGAAGCAAAAAGCTTCCTGCGTCTCAATAGGACTCATCTGATGGAGCTGCATTGACTTTGAATTGACTCCTCCACCCACTTCCAACCTCCCCGTTGTTTTGTGTTGTATGTGTGTGTGTGTGGGTGGCTGAGTAGATGGATACGTGTGTGTGTGTGTGTGTGTGTGTGTGTGTGTGTGTGTGTGTGTGTGTGTGTGTGTGTGTGTGTGTGTGTGATGAAGAAGGTGAAGAAGCGATCTAGAAGCTGTTTTCTGTGATGCTCTCTGCCTGAGACGGTGCCTTAGAGCTAAGTCTCAGTCTAACAGTGTTTCCTTTGTTTTTTTTGCTATAAGCATGTGTTAGAGAAAGTCTGAAAAATGTTAGTTAACTAATTTTTGTGATTTGTATCAACAAACATACATGTATATTAGGCTAAAGTAGCAAATCAACTTTGTTTTATGTACCTATTGTATATTATTCTCTACATTTCAAGACAATTTGTAGTGCTGAGAATGCTGATTTGCCATTCCGCTATGAAAATCATGGCAAAAATTGATACAGCTTTCAGTTCTAAAATTTCCTCTAAAATGTAGGGTCCTGGATGGATGTAAATTTGACAAAGTAAACAGTGACAGTTTCTAGTAGTCTATCATTACCTCATCTTCCTCCTGTCAGCCTGCTGTATAAGATGTGGAACACAAAGATTTACCCAGAGGAGATGAACAAATCAGATCAGTTATTCTTTTTTTACCATGCTTTTGGAAGAAAACAGTTTGTCAGATGTATTTCACAACCTTCTGAGATTTTGAGAAATTATCTCGAAACTAACTTTATCTTCATAAAGCACTGGGTGAAATGAGTCAGTCTTGTCTACAGAATAACCACTGACTTCCCTTGATGGTGTTTGACAAGTAGCATTGCTTTGTTACATATGCTCACCTTACATTGATTGATAAGTATGCTATAATGACTGGCTTGATGTATATTATAGCACTTATTAGACTACTTTCTTAATAAATCAAGTTTGACACAAAATATTGATTTAAAAATGAATGCTTCATCCGAGAGAAATATGACTGCCTACCAATGGTTGAAACTGTGACGATAGTATACATAACATAAAATGACAGCAGCACTAATCAAGTTTCTCCACCTTTTTTTCATGTTTTTTTGGCCACATCTGATGTTAAATCTTTCGGACTTCTTTCTGCGGATTGATATGACTTCACTTAGTCCCTTGATCAGAGCGTCCTTAGCAGCGTTCTGCTATTGTATGCCGCTATAAGGAAAAGTACCACACCACTGTAAGTCCAAAATGACCAATCCGGATCGAGTATTCAAATAGACACATTTAAAGAGCATCTTGCAGGTTTTTTTTTTTTCTACATTTATGCTTAAACTTGCTTGAAAATTACAATTAAAAAAGTGAATGCAGGATTTGATATGTTTTACGAGACATAAGGGCAGGAATTCAGAGGGAAAGGAGCAATTTTGAGCTCTGCTCTTAAAAACGGCTTTTTTTTAAGGTCATACGTCAAACGCGTCATATTACATCACAAAGGGTAAACATCTCCGCTCTCTGTTATAGTTAGTAGTTGCGTTGAGTTGAGCGGTTGTGTTTTAGTGAGCTGGTATTTTTCGGTAGTTTTACATTGTATTTCACCATTTGTAATCATAGTGCAGTATTGTGTTTGTGCAGGTTGCACAAATACCAGCCTGTCAGGACATCGAGTCCACAGTTTCCCTCACGGGAAAAGGACCGGAGCTAGCGTTCGTTCCTGGGTGCGTTGTGCATCCACCTCCCTGCAGCACGTACTCTCCACAGCTTTATCAGGAAACCGTATTACATCTCTCTCCCCCCCCTCTTCGCTGCTCTCTCTCTCTCCCCTCCGGTACACTGCACCGTAAGACATAGTGTGGAGTTGCATTAGGTAACGCTGTGGTGGCTGTACTGCTCCAGCCGTCTCCTTTGTGTTTGTTTGTTTCCCCCTGTCTGTGTTGTTAGTGTGTGCGTGGTGGCTGTCACTCCTGGCCCCCGGCTCAACCTCCACTCACCTGCTGCAATCAGCTGTGCACCCTCCCCGACTACACACCTGCTTTCCATCAAGCCATTTACAACGGCATATCAACGGAGGCTCCACAACCTTTCTCCGCCAGATCGTCAATTATCAGCCGTATCTCGCGTCTCTCCTCCGGTACACAGAACCGTAGTGTGGAGTTGCATTAGGTAACGCGAGATACGGCTGATACTTGCGCATTAGTTTCTGTTATGGAATGCAACTCCACACTACGGTTCTGTGTACCGGAGGAGAGACGCGAGATACNTATCGTGACAACACTACTCCTGACAGTTAAACCTGATATTTAGTAGGTCTGTTAAGTATTGAATGCTGATAATTCTGACTAATTTGGCCGGTCAAAGTTGTTTGGGCTCGGATAAAATCGCTCCGTTACTTTCGTCCCGTGTTACTTTCGTCCCGGCTCTCCCTATGTGTGTATGTGTGGTCTCAGGTGTCAGTATGAGAGGATGACAGCGCGTCTACTGTCACTTTTCACATTGAACATGTGCTCTTTTATTAAATAAACTAAACACTTTCATTTTAAGTTGTGAGTTTAGTGTTTTTGACCCTAAGAAACACTGATGCATTAATCAATAACAATAATCCACAGCTTCTCTCTGCTCCAGAGGATTTAAAAAATATATATCCCAATGACACAAAAATGCATCAGGGACGTGGTTGAAATCTTGTCTCCAGAAAACAAAAAACTGAAACAAGCGGTATCAGTGACTGTGTGTTTGATGTGGCTCTTTGCAGTAACATAGAAATAATGTGGCTCTTAACCTCTGACTGGTTGGCCACCCTTGCAATAGCTGTTCTTATAATAGCTCATCAATGCCCTTGATGGTTAGCATATTTACCTACCCTCTTGTTTTTAGCAATCCATGAGAAAGCCTAACACTGCAAGTGTGCATCTTGTTAAAATCAACTGCCTCCCCTAGAACATTCTGTGCATTAAATAACATCCACTTGTTTGTACACATTCCCACATAGGAGGATCAGGCCAGCGGAAATTAAGTGTTTTGGTACCTGAGGCAGAGGGTTACATGGGGGCCTACCTTGCCAAAGCTTTAGGTGGAAAAGGCTGTCTCTATATAATGCCCATCCAGGACACTTTAGACACCTCCCCCTTGCCCTACTCATCGAAGGAGTTCGAAAATATGCCAAAAGCCAGATGTGCCACGTGTCATCTAAGCATGCCTGCAGCTGTTGGCTTTACACGCACAAGAGTGTGAACCAAGCAGCTGTCTGACCGCATGGATCTGGAACCGGTAATGTTATTCCACAAATAACTATGCAGGATCATTGTCATACTGAATCGACAGCTTTTTTAACTGGTTACGATTTTCAGGATCTGGACCCAGATTTAGATGAGTCTCCAGCTACAAGCAATCCTGGGAATGTAAGCTCACTAATATTGTAGGTGTTTGTTTCTAAACAATCTTCATTGTATGTGTCATTAATTGGCAGTCTTTCTACATTGTATTATAGGCTTCTCCAAGTGTGCTCCCGTGTAGGATCTCCTGTTCTAAAATCGATATTAAAGTAAAAATCAGTGCATTATTTATCAATAGGCTACATGCACAGTCACTTCCGCATTGTGTGTAATACTGCCCAACTGTTTCCGCTACAACAACAACAATGGCGACGTTCTTCACTCTGTGTTTACAAGAGCTCCCGAAATTGAAAATTACCGATGTTCATCGAATTTGCAGGACGACTAAATCCCCAGCCAGCAAATTGGACAAAGGTTTCAAGTTATGCATCATATATTCACAGGGCTCTCATGTTTTGAACAGAGTTCAGAGTGAGATTTTGGTAGCGGTGTTTGGTACTCCAACTTCTGGCTCCCCTCAAAATTCAAAGTTTTCCCATGAAGCCCTCTGTATCACGAATGTCACCGGGGGGGGGGGTGGTGCTAGTGGAGTGCAGCGTCTCAATCAAGCCTAGTTTGTTTACAAAATAGCGAGAACTTGGTGGGCGGTACCCTGGAAAGAAATCTCTGCGTGAGGAAATCTCTGCGTGAGAAATACAAGGTGTGGCGTGTGAGCGTGTGAATGGAGTGAAATGCGTGTGTCTCACGCCAAATGCGTGAGACTTGAGAGCTCTGGATATATAAGCATGAAGAACAAACAACCACGGCCGGCTTCAAGTTGTGTTTCCTGAATGAACTGACCAGGCAGAGTCCCTGTAGCTAGCTTCAGCAGGTAGCAGAGAGACAAGAAGCTAGCAGCAGCAGTCACTTCACAGAGCCGTCACTCAATGTGACCACGCCCTAATTTATGCAAAAACTTTAAGACCTAATATAAATAAAANGAATATGATTCCATAAGTATATATGATATCTATGTGGGAAGAGCAAAACAAGTGTGCAGTTAGAGCTATAACCCTCCACACATGTCACCTCTGTTGAAGCTGATTTGTGACCAGTAGTACTTCAGTGGATTGGGAAACTACAGTAATACATAAAAAATTGAGTGGTCAGCATTTTCGGGGATATTGAGAGTCCTCCTGCCAAGTCCAGCCTGGAGAAGGACCATTTCATCCGATGGCTTTGATGTTCTTTCTGTGCACTTATTGAGCAGAAAGAACTGGATTGGGGTTGACCTAAGAGCCCTTCTTTTGGGAGATGGGGTATAGCTTTTACNATTTCTTTCTTTTTGGTGTCTATATACGCCGGGATCCGGAGTCATGGATGATCCTGCGGTCCTGTGTCATGGATTGCGAGTCCTGGATCTTGAGCCGTGGCTGTGGTCCTGGATCATAAGTCCTGGATGGATATACTCGTGGATTCATCTTCCTATTATACACACATGCATTTCCAAACATTTGGACTACCTATGTTGCAAATGTATTATCTTTTCAATTTACACACGGCATCTATTGCACGTCTGTCCGTCCTGGGAGAGGGATCCCTCCTCTGTTGCTCTCCCTGAGGTTTCTCCCATTTTTCCCTTTAAATTGTGGGTTTTCTCTGGAAGTCTTTCCTTGTACGATGTGAGGGTCTAAGGACAGAGGGTGTCGTATTGTCATACTGATATTCTGTACAAACTGTGAAGTCCACTGAGACAAATGTAACATTTGTGATATTGGGCTATATAAATAAACATTGATTGATTGATTGATTGATCATTGTGAGAAGAAGGAAGTCTTGCAGACGTATAAGAGATGACTTTACAAAATTAATAAAACCATGCCCTTCAACTGGCCATATTCCATTTGAATCACAGCAACTTGTTAGATGTATGTTACTGTGTGCTTTAGTGGAGGGCGGCACACTGTGGACTGTCCAGTTATTGGATCATGTCGAACTGGAGAATGGCCACTACGCACCTAATGTTGTGATAGAGGTGATAGAAATCTATTTCTGCTCAAAAGTGAGCAATGATTGAGTCAGAGCTAAACATTTCAGATGTATCTCACACTGCACTATAACTTTAATTCATTTATCTTTGCTTTTAAATGAGTGTTTTTAAATGTCAATTCTTAATGCTCTTAATGTCTTTCATTTTTGTAAAACACTTTGAATTGCCTTGTGTTGAAATGTGCTATTTAAATAAACTTGCCTTGCCTAATGTTGGAATTAAGTCTTCTTTCAGATGTGTGTATTGCGTTAATATTAATAATAAGAAGAAGCGGGTTAGCATTACATTGCACAAGCCTCTTAAAGAAATGTGTCGTGAGAACACATTTCATGGGAGAATGGTAAAGGTCAAATGGTTGTATCATTCTTACTGTTACACTATATACACATTTAATGAAAATATTAGTAAATAGTTGTAAACAAATTCACTTTAGGGAATAGTAGAGTTCCTTTGTGACTACAGTGCTACATGAATGCTAAGCTAAGGTCAGGCTTCATAACAAATACAGCGCTAACGTTGTAAAACAAGATTAAACCCGGCTCTTTCAAAATCATAACCTTTTTTTTATTACCGCGATGTGACAATCTTACCTTTGCTAAAAAGAGCAGCTCTAGATAATAACCGGGTGAAAGTCATTTTAGCTTAACAACAGTTCCCTTCAACCGATCTGTGATCCTGACACTCTGCGGTTGATTACATTTCCTGGAAGGATGAGTGGAATGGATGATTCAAGATCACCGATAAATCGATCTAACCTTCTTATGTTTGCTGTCACTTAAAATAGTTGGTGTTAAAATCACTGTTAGTGAGTTTTAGCGCAATTCGCTTAAAAAAAAAAAAAAGGGATATGGAATTTAGTTTGCAACTGTCGACAAAACTATAGACTGGACATAGGAGCGTAATGATGCACTGCCTCTACATTTAACATAATACAATATGTAAGCCTACTATTTTGGAACATATGCCAGATACATTTGCTATGTGTGTATTTATTCGTATAAATATTATTTATTCACATTACGTGTTGACCCTGCTCGCTTGGTGCTCCTCACGCAGACTCAGACAGCAGCCCTGCGGTGACCCGGAGGAGAAGCACATCGGCCATTTTGCTCGGAAGGGGGCCTGGGCTTCAACACGTGAGAAAGAGGAGCCTGAACAGTCCAGGATCTCTGACTCCAAGAGGATATTATTCATGTGTGAACCGACAGATGCATAGGAAGCCACCACAATGCCCACAATCACCCTGCCGCCGAAGGAGAATGCTCTCTTCAAGAGAATATTGGTAGGCTAATGCCTGAGTTAGCGTTAGCTCGCTGGCTAATGCTAGTTTACCAAGTAGCCGTCAGTTATAGCAGTAGCTAGGAAGCCGCTAGTCAATAACAAAACTGTTCCGAACACCAAACGTACTTTCACTGTCTCTGTTATTAACACTTAAAATTAACATTGCAAGGAAGAAAGCAGCCGTGTAGGGTCCTAGCTATGCGTTAGCCTTCCAACACACCAAAGTATATGAATGGAATCTCCACACATGACAGCTTTAGAAGTGAGGGACAGTGGAGTGAGCTGTGCAGTTACAGGCTGCTCTGCACTGTGCATAAAGTGTTTATGTGGCCAAAATAGTAGTTCAGATTTCACCGCAAGCCAACTTTCACTTAGCAATGAGCAAGTTCACCTAGCCTTTTTACCAAATTACATTTAAGCACTAGTCTATAACCCAATGATTTGATGACACAAGACTGAAATAGTTAAGTGGCAATCACAATATTGAGTCGTTGACGGTATACATGACGTTTACATTCAAGTTATAGTACTAGTAATTAATTAATAGAATATAGCATCAATTCACTAATATTTATTTGTGAGTGTGTTCTTTACTTTGTCAGTCAGGAAACTGAGGGTCAGCTTGTCTTATGACATTTCATACACTACCTCCATCTTCAGCTCTATTTCCTCTTCTTCTTCTTTGCTTTAATGGCGAGTGTTCTCTTTCCTCAGTTTTACACTATCATGCTAAATGCACTGCCAGGAAGGCTGTGTGCACTCTAGGGTTAGGTATTGGTCCCTGGAACACAGTGTCAGCACTTTGCATATTATTACATTTTGCACCTGAACCGGCTGTCTGGGATCAGGCTGGCTGTTGTCCTCACATGTGAAGTCTGCTTTGTCTGTTGTTGCAGAGATGCTACGAACACAAGCAGTACAGAAACGGCCTGAAGTTTTGCAAACAGATCCTGGGGAACCCAAAGTTTTCTGAACATGGAGGTAAGACACCAGCTGCTTCATTCAACAGGACTTTTGAATGTGCTGTACTCAGTCCCTTCAGGTGGATAAACTATGCAACAGAAGTATTGCTTCTAAACTACTTCAAACATATATCTTGGGTGTTTCCCAGCTGTAATGTCTTGTGTTACAGGAGCAGCAGTGTGTTTTACAATATTATAAACATTTAATAAAGTATAGACAATAATACATACAATCAAAAAATAAGCAGCAAATATATACAAGAAATAAAGAGCAATGATAACCCTCTTTACAACTGTTGTTGCTGAATGTGTTTCCTCCCCCCCGCTCTGTGCTGCAGAAACGCAGGCCATGAAGGGTTTAACCCTCAACTGTCTGGGCAAGAAGGAGGATGCGTACGAGCTGGTGAGACGAGGCCTGCGCAACGACCTGAAGAGCCACGTCTGTATCCTTCCTGCAGCAACACAGCACCCCCCCCCCAATTCAGCTTCATTTCTATTTGTTTATGACATGTGTAAGCACACCTGGATAGTGCACTTGCTGTTTTTCTTTGCTTCCTGAACTTGCTCTTCCTCCAGGCTGGCACGTGTACGGCTTGCTGCAGCGCTCAGATAAAAAGTATGACGAGGCCATTAAATGTTACCGCAACGCTCTGAAGTGGGACAAGGACAACCTGCAGATCCTGAGAGACCTCTCTCTGCTGCAGATCCAGATGAGAGACCTGGAGGGCTACAGGGTGAGGGGATGTGTGTGAAAACAGTAGCTTCCAGATGAGAAGTTGGGGGGAGGGGTTATGCTGGGGCAGACGATTACCCATCCTCCTGTACTGGGGATACAGTTATTTGGTGAAGAAAAGACAGAGGAGCAGTGAATCCACTAGTGGACAGTATCATGAGATGCATGTTGGTACTGACATGTGCTGCT